GGTACCAGCGTTTCCCTCTAGGGGTTGGTGTTCATGCTTGACTGAGCTGGAAAATTTTTACACCTTCTGAAGATCGGTCTCATAACCTCGGAAGGTAAACAGTGCATCAAGCTCGTGGGCTTGAGACTTCTGAGCCCGGATTCAGGATCTTTAAGTCCGTATGCACAGAAATGGAAATCTCCCCAGGTCACGGATGGATCTGAAAACAATTGTTGCATGCATTTCAGATACCATATCCTGGATGTCTGAGGATTTTCGATGATGAAGTATCTTCTGTGCTTCAACTGATATCGCGCAATGGATGCCACAAATTCAACCATGGGAAGGTAGCGTCTCCGCTTTTCCCCAACCTTTTGTTGGTCTTGTTGGATGTTCTGCATATTTGACCATGGTCCACAGACCGGTGCCATGAGGATGACATCAGGTGCTTGTTCCCTGATGATCTCCATGACCATGTGTCGTCCCTTGGATGTCATTACGTCGAATCCTGTGCGGATGTCTACGGGAGTCCCAACCTTAAGACCTGATAGTGCACAGCATTGACTGAATCTGGCACTTCCTGCAAAGATCTCGAGAACGTGGATCTTTCCCTTACGTACACAAGTTCAATGTGCTTGTTCAGGAACGGATGTGAGGTCCTCGACGAACATGTTCTCTGCTGGATGAGGTACTACAGGTTTTGGGGTTGTTTTTCCCGCGATACGTAATGGCACTGAGGATCTTGGCTTAGGAGCTGGTGCGGATGATTCCTTTTTCTTGGTATCTGCAGAGGAGCCTGGTTGCTCCTTCTGCAAGGATTCTCGCTCTTCTGGTAATAGAAGATCAATTCCGGGTTTTTCCGGAGGGATGGCTTCATCCTTCCTGAGCTTCGTCATGTTAAGATCAAGTCCTACCATCGCTCCTTCAATGGAGATGACCTTTCCTTTTAGCCATATTCCTCCCTTGCTTCCATCGGAACGAATCTTGGATTTGTCTTCCTGCCAGTAGAATACCTTGTCCTTCACCTGAAGAGGCTTAGAACTCATTCGGAGATTTTGAGCAAGGTCTCGTCGGATGTCTTCGGATTGACGCGCTTCTTGGAAAGCTTGCTTTGACAGCTGCTTGATCTGGATGGCTGTCAGCTCTTCTTCATTCCTGTCAATCGTCAACTGAGTTGGTGTTGCGACATCGAGTTGGATGAGATCTGCTGGTCGTCTTCCGAATGCGAGCTCCAATGGCGTTACACCCCCGTAGGTGACGGTCTGATTCCGGACAGTTGCAGCGGCCTTCACTAGCTGCCTGTATGTCATTTTCTTCAGTGTTGCAGGTGCTGTACCTGCCTTGATTGATGGAACTTAGCCTGATCTTGAGTTGTGCCTTCAGGAGTCGAACTGCTGCTTCAGCTCGATTTGGCCATGGTGTATTCGGTCCCAAGGATATCGGTGTGATGTCAAGGGACTGATAGAAATGTTCCCATGTATCTGTCATGAAGGCTTGATCTGCGACAACTGATTTGGGCTGCAAGTGGTACTGGTCAAAATAGTTCCCGAGGACAGTGATGTTCTCGGCTGCTTGCGTAGTTGTCACTGCCTCTCCAGGATGACAAAAAGAATGATGTGTTCTCCTGTTCCAAGAGGAACTTGACAGTGATCAATGAATGTCATGTCACCAAAGGTGTCCGCTCGAAGTCCACTTGTTTTGCTTCGTGACGGTGCATGTTTTGCCGCTTGGCAAACTTCACACTCACTTCGGATTTTGTCAAATAGATCGAATGATGCTGTAGGTGGAGTTTCTTCAATTCTTCGGGATTTGACAATCGCTTGTGGATTCTGCCTAGGGCAAGCGGAAGCGATGTTGGTTCATCTGAGGATGGTGTAAAAGGATCTGGCTCAATGGTCGGCCGGCCCCTCTTGTCGATGATCCTGTCTGCTGCTGATCCTGAACCTGCTTCTTCGTCCTTAAGCGAATTGTCCGCGAAGGTGAAAATGGTCTTACCTGTCCACAGGTTAATCATTGGTTTGTTTGCCTGGGATGAAAGTCTCCAATTGTCTTCTAGAATGTCTGGATCCCCACCTGCGGATGCATCAATGATTTCCGTAGTACGTTCTCGGCTAATGTGATCAGGATTGATTGGGCACTCCTTGGCTCCATTTGGTGTGAACAGCGCCTTTCGGGGCGTGATGTGCACACGGATGAGCTGCTTGTTCTTCTTGTCAAGGATCCAATGGTCCTGCTTTTGAGGCCCAATGATCTTAGGAGTTGCTAGGTCCTCCTTTGTCTCGGATGATTTTGCTGCACAAACAGTTTCACTCTTGGTGAGATCCCCGGTGAGGCCCTTGTGAGCAATTTCTCCATGCGCCTTCACTCTTGCAACTCCAGCAAGATCTACGGGTGCATGTCCTGTACCGGATACTGGAACTGCTTGACGGTTCATGCTAAAGGCCTTGCATGTGATCTTGTCACATTGTTGAGGTGTGTGCTCGATGGTCATGTAGAGGTTCCGCATCTGGCTGATGCTGAGGAGGATCGGTACAGTTCCTTGTTCAAGGACGTCGATGTTGGTACTGCATGGAGGAGTTGTGTGATATCGAAGATGCAGGGTCCAATTTACCCTGGCGGTCTCTCCGTTTGCAAAAGTGAACTTGGTCTCGGCCGGGATGTACTGATAGGAGATGATGTCCTTCATTGGTTCGATGGCCTGAGTAAAACGCTGGATTGCATGCCAGCTGCCCATAGATCTGGTACATCCATTGTCCAGAATCGCATAGGTCGGGTTGTGCTGAGGGTTGATGACAGGCGCCATCAGCTTTGTTGCCAGAAGGCTGTGATTTGTTGTGACGGACAGATTGTGTTCTGAAACTGTATCTGATTGGATCAGCTTCTCGTGGATGGCCTTTTTCCCAGGATGCTCATATGCATCATGGAATGCCATTAACGCTTGTCCTGTGCTGGATGTCTCATGGGATGAGCACCAGCCATGTTCGTTCCATGTCCATGATTGATCCCAGTCTTGGTCTGTCCAACCGGCATAGGTAGGCTCTATGGATGGTGCAGTCTGCTGGATGGCGGGCTGCTCCTCCGTCTTCTCGGCGGTGGCTGCGAACGTCTTGGATTTTCCTTTCTCCTGTCCGCTCTTTCCCTTGCCATTCTCATAGGATGGATAACCCTTGTTTCCATCATAGGGATATTGGAATTTTGATTTTCCTTTCTTTCCCTTCTTTCCTTTGCCTTTTCCCCAATATGCCTGGTCGTAGGGATCATAGTTTTCGTTGGCCATATTGGCCTTTCCGCCAGAACCGCTTTTTCTGAAGGGTTTAAAGCCACCTCGTTGGTGACTGCCCTTTTTGTTTCCTGATTTTCCTTTTCCTTTTCTCTTCTTGAATTTGAAGTTCCGCCCCGACACTTTTCTTGCTATGAACGCATCGTTCTCCTCGAGGACCCAGAATGTCTCTTCATCGTTGTTTGACATGAATCCTTCAAGTCCTTCTTCATCCTCAACCCAGAAGCCTTCTTCTCCTTCATATTCACCTTGTTCGATGATGAAGAATGTGTTGCTTCGGTTGCCTCCTTGATGTCGGATGGATGGATCTTGGATGGATGTCCTCGTCGTGATGAAGAGTTCATGGTAGTGCGTCTTCAGCATCTCATAGGAGTAGTTTTCTAGTGAGATGTTTCTCAGTGACATTGCACTTGTCAGTCCATCTCTTTGCTGATCTGACAGCTCACTCTGAATGATGAAAAACTGTGCAATGAGATTATCCCCGAAGGGAAATGCGTCCCGCTGTCTGTCCTGCATTCCTTGGATATACTGTCTGAGGACTACTGGATCATCCTCATTTAGCAGGGCTGGAGGCGGTGCTCGAACACCGGCTGCTTGCTGATGTCGAGCAATTGTTCTTGCATTTGCTTCCTGCACGGATTGTCGAAATGTTGGGGACTGTGCCGTGAAAACGGGCATCAAGTCCATCCATGCTGCCTTCAACCTCATAAGAAGGATTTCGAATTTTGAGGTAAAATGAGGAACTCTCTTTGTTCTGCCTTCGATGATTGAAGAAACTGAGGAGCCTGTACAGATACACGTTGGTCGCACCTTTCAAAAAGTACTTCTTCAGCGTGTTCTTGAAATAGTTGACTCCTTCATCAGGATCTTGCAAAAGGTCGTTTTGGAGGACTGCCTTGTACATATATGCATCTCCGGTCAATCTGCTCTTGAGCAGAGGTCCTCTCTTGGGTGCTTCCACTGTTGTGATTGTCACCCAGTCGTCCACGAGTTCTTCATACCTGAACCAGCTGACTTTTCCGTCGTACGATGGCGGCTGCTTGGCGGTCATCGATAAATTGAGTGTTTCCTCCGTATAGCCTGGATTTTTGATGAAGCCTTCTCCATCGGATGACATCTTCCCTTGGATCTCTGCGGAAAACCCGCTCCGCTACCACAAATTGAGGCCCACTGCCCCAAGTGCCTATTTCAGAAGGGAACTGGTACCCTGTGGTAGTAGAGGTCGTTGATTTGGCCCTGGATCTATTCCGGAGAGAATCCAATATGCCACTGTGGATGATTGGAGGATGGATTGTCCCTGGTGGATTGTCTTGTGGATAATCCTGTAAGCGGCCTGCTAAGGTTCTTTTGCTTCACGCGATCATGAATGATGCAATGTTACACAAAAGGGGCCTTGAGCCAAATGTTGCAGGAGATCAAGTGTTCAGTAAACCAAACACAAGGGGAGCGGGAGGGAGCCCTAAGCCCCTATTCAGCTCTTAATAAGGCCTTATTTAGGGCTCCCTCCCCCTCCCCTCCCTCCCCCCCAGCCCCCATGACTGCTCCACCGGCCCCTGGCCTGAAGGAGGCAACAAGCAAGGGGGCAGTGGCTCCCAGCCAATCCTTGAATTAGTGGCTCCCCACCAAGACATATGGAACCTGGTCCCGGCCAGGGGCCCGGTCCTTTTAGAAAGTTGAGAACTGTCCAATTCAGGTTCCAGTGGGAGGCTAGGCAGAGTTTGTACGCGGAAAGACTTCTGAGGCTGGAGCTGCTCAAGATCAAAGGCGCCGCCGTTTTGATGGGAATCCGTGAATCCCCGGGTCTCCGTTTGGCCAGGGGTCAAAACCGTTTTGGGAGCCCATTTTGGGGTAGGTGAATTCACCACCCATGTTAGAACTATTTTAGTGGGAACCTATTTTAGTGGGGATTGGGATGTTCAGTTGGGGTACAGGGTCTTGACCCACAGCCTTAATCTGAGGGGCCCTACCCCCCTGCAACCTGCGGAGGGGGTTTTATTTGGCCTCGATGTTTGTCTTTGCGAGGCTCAGGAAGCCCCGCATCGGGAGGTCTTTGGGGGGGTTTGTAAAATCCCTGCACCCGCGCGGATCTGAACGAGCAGTTTCGATTCCATTGCAGATGCTCAACTTCGTGGTAGTTTGCACACACAGAGAGGTGCCTTTTTATATACACATGAAAGACACACATATTACATGTATTTAGTTTAAATGTTATTACGTATGTATATACCCCGACAAGTTAAACTTTTTGCAGCGGGGTCAACAGCAACCAAGTTGCGTGCAAGGCGAGAAGGTGCCCAAGACCGAGCTCTGAGGACGGTGAGACCAAGGTGCGATGGCCCTGAGAAAGGGCGCGGAACCGTGGATGGACAGAATCCGTTCGCACAACCAAATGAAACCATGCTTGAAACCAAGCCGTTTGTTGGTATTTACTCCAGAGTTTTGTAGGTTGTGGAAACCTTGGTTGAAACATGGTTGACACCACTCTTTGTTGGGATTTGCAGGGGAATGACATGAATCGAGCTCATTCCAGAGTTTGATAGATTCGGAAGCATTCTGAGGTGGTGCGACATGGATTTCGTCCAGCCACAGTATGCAAACACTGCCACCCAACAAACCAACATGTAAACATGGAAGTTCAAACGCCCTTTTTGGAAGTCTGCTTTTCTTCAAAATTTTGCACTTTCATGTTTTGTTTGCGGGAGGTTATATGGTCGTGTGTTTTGTTTGTATGATGAATGCCGTTTTGCGCCCATCGCTTCATTTTCTTTCTGTTATATACCCCTGGCACTTCTGCGGTCACTGGCTCCTTTGCGCTCGCTCTACGCCTGCGCGCGAGTTCCTCCAGCCGGTGCCAAGCTGACAAAGTCCATTTGCAGCATTCCGCCAAGTGGGGACAGCATGCGTCCTGAGTTTGTTTGTGACAAGGGCTCCAAGAGTTTTCCCGCTTCACCCTGGGATTACGCCCTTTAAGGAATCCCCCTATTCTAGCCGATGTCCAATTAACACCTGGTTATTTCTAGTTTATTTGGGATAATTTTGAGTAATCTCCATGGGTGCAATCCCAGAGTGTCATAGGAAACTCAGAAAGAGAGCGGGACACTCGCGCCTGCATCCTTTCCTTTTTCAAAATTGACCCCCATGCCTCGTTCAAGACCACCGGATTTATGATATTCTCAGGAAAGCCCTTAAAGCAATTGACCCTTTGACCTTTAGGTTCCTGGTGCCCGAAAGGCGCTTTTTTTGGCCGTTTGTTTTACCCACTTTTTGTTGGCCGTTGTGAAAAAATACGGCCGAATACCGCTGTTTGCCTTTATGGCAAACTTATAAACGAACGCTTGCCATAGTGCTTCACGCATGCCACGCAAGCTTCGGAAACCAGAAACCTGCCAACGAGGCCAGAGAGCCCAGCATGGCAACAGCTTGGTCGAGGGCCCCTAGGTTGCCTGCCCCTACGGCAACCCAGCCGAAAGCCTCGGGCTCCCAACATGCACTTTCCTTTCTCGAGCTCCAAGGGGGCAAATGGGCTCCTTCTGGTTGGTTCGGGTTTCCTACGAAACGGGTTTTCTACGGGGTTTCTACGGGTTTTGTACGGCTTGTTTCGGGTGTTTTGCCGAACTTGCTGGCGAGTTCTTCGAGAAGTTGCGGCCGAACCTTGCAGCAAATTGCAAAAATACGGCCGTCCCGCCTATTCTTATGGCCGTTCCCTCAAAAATTATCGCCGTTCGCTTGAACATTACGGCCGTTCCCTCGAGAATTACAGCCGTTCCCTCAAGAATTACGGCCGTCCCTCGTCCTTCCCGGCAAGCCTACTGAATTGCGGCCAAAACCATCAAAGGTGTCAAAAACTGGCGTTCAACGACTGTTTTGTGCATTTCAGCTTTCAGAACCGAAAAGAGTTGCATTTTTACCCCCAGCATTGACTCGTGCACCATCATGCAGTAACAGACATGCTACTCGTGCTGGTTGGGACATAGTGCCCAAAGCATGTTGCCTGGAGTGGGCTTTCAAATTGTGAAGATTCGACCCAAACAACGGAAGCATCACTGCCTTGAAATATTACGGCCGTGCCTTGGAGAATTACGGCCGCAGGGAGACATTACGGCCAAATCTGGAAAACCAGGTTTTTCTGGAACGCCCAACAAAGATCAGGTATAGCTAAGGTCACAAAAGCCAAATCTTTTATTTCCAGGTCCTTTGGGAAGTGAGCATTCCTTCCCCGCAAATTGAAACATGGAACCCGGGTGATCAGACCTTGATGGTCTAAATGGCCTGAGGCTGTGCCCCGTTCCACGGGGTTCCCCAGTTGTGCGCTGGGATTTCTGTTTTGTCCCTTTTTTGGTGCACCAAAAATGGTCAGCCAACCAAAAAGGGCTCCAATTCATGTTCTACCCCTCGCGTGAGACTGACTGCATGGCAGGGCCGCGTCTGATAGAACCTGAGAGCCGGAAGGCCAAGGCGCCGAGTCGGAACGGAACCAAATGGGCGATGCCCAGAGTTCCGATGCCCGTTTTTGAGTTGGAGAACTTGGAGAAGTTGTTGGATGAAGGGTTGGATACCCAGGAGTTACGCTAGATAATTCCTTTGTTCCCGGCCGCCATTGGTATTGCAGTGGGCGTTTTATCGGATTGCACACCTCTCAAGGCCCTTCTGAAGGGCCTTATGTGAGATCCATTCAAACCTCAGATCCTCAGGGTCTCAGCCTGTAAATCTCTGTGGATGCAAATGCTTGAAGGGATCTCACAAGTCGGTCCAAAGAGTCCGAGTTCCAGGACACATCGAATCGGTGCATAAACAGGAAGACCCGCGAAACGGCGTTGGTGAACTCGACGAGCAAGCCTTTTCTTCAGCCCATGTCCATGTCCTTGATTCCACGTCATTTTTTGTTGTACGGCAAAAGCTTGTCCATTGATGTTTCAGATACCCCTTGTTTGTTGGCTTGGATTGGTGGTTTGGTGGGTAAGGATTGGTTTCCCCTTTGCCCACCAGATTCGGGGGTTCAAATCCAAATCTAGTTCCCACTCCAAACCACATGCTGGGAAGCGGATTTTTGTTGAGGAGATGCATGGCTTCTAAGCCTGGAGGGCCACATGCCGCGTGTCTCTGTGTCACAACTGCGTGCCCAGCGCGCGCCCGCAGCTTAGCTTGGGGCCGGGTCTTCTTGCGACCTTTGCAGGAGGCGGGCTGCAACACGGCTGGGTGCCGCTTTGGTCCGGTTCAGTTGTGGCGACCTCACTAATTCCGTTCCCCTTGTTTCCCCCTACTGCTAAATATTGCTTCTCCTCTATATATATATATACATGTCTATATCTATATACCTATCCATGCAGATATGTGTATTTGTATATATATATATATATACATACATACATATATACATATATCGGGGAGGCGTATTCATTGTTAAGGAGAACAACTTAGAGGTTGAGAATATTTCCAACCCATGGCTGCGATTCCTTTGTCGAGGCTCCTGCGCGTGAATCATGGGTCTTCCATGCTGGCCAGCATGCTGGTTGAAAGGCTGACTGATTCAGGGTTTTGCTCCAGATCATCATGTAGGAAAGCATCCATCAGGAGTATTCCGCACGAGGGAGGGTAGCCTGACCGCTAGCTCAGCCGCGCAGACGCGCAGGGGGCCCCTGCGCCTGGCGATGAATTCAGTGAGGCGCTGGGTTCGGTCTTTCCGCTTTCTGGGCTCGGAGTTGTCTGGGGTAGGATGGTCGATGCGCCCACTCGAGCCCATTTGTTGGTCACTGTGGCAACTGGACGTGTATTGTTTGAAGGCGTCCCTGTTTCAAGGGATGCCTGCTAGCGATCGGCTGATTGGTGCAACTGGGGTCTCTGCATGTCTCTGTCACTCAGTACTCAGACGGGTGGCTTGCTAGATTGCTTGCATGGCCGTCAACAAGATTCCTCACTTTCTGAGTTCACGGACTTTGAACTTTCTGAGAGACCAGCCTAGCGGTAAATAGCAAGTTCAGACTGTGTTTGAAGCCGGTCCAATCAGGGTGAGGGTTCCAGGTCCACCAGAATCCTTGGACCTCGAAGCAGCAGGCTCATTTTGGCCGATGACAACGGGTTTGACTTAAACATCGGGTCCACCTTAGGGAAGCCAAAGGAAGTTGAGACCACTGGGGCCCAAACCTGCTAGCTCTCCGCGGCCCAGTGTCCACAAGACAGTCTGATTGACCTTTCATGGCGCACGTTCGTTTGGCTTCAAACGCAACAGGCGCCTGGGAAAGTTTTTTTTTCTCCATTTTTCATCTGCGAGTCGAGTTGTTTAAGTTGAGCTTCGCATGGAGATCTGAGTGTCTGGCGGTTGAAGCAATCTATCTCACAGCTGGGGCCTGAGGCTCATCAAGATGCAGATGTAGGTTGCAGCGTGCTGATCCTCGTCGGTCCTTGCCCCCGAAAAAAGGGCGGTGGTGGTCAAAACCGTTTTGGTTGATCCCATTTTGGGGTAGGTGAAACAAAACACCCATGATAGAACCTATTTTAGTGGTTGGATTGAATCGGATGTTCACTGGGGGTACGGGATCTTGACCCATGGCCATGTTAGAGGTTGCAGCGTGCTGATCCTCGTCAGTCCTTGCTCGCCCCCCCAAAATGTGCAACTTGTACCAGACAGAACGTCGGACTTCCACTGGAAGGGCCTGGCTTCAGCCCAGGCAAATGCGGGAAGAGTGTGCAAGGACGATCGCAACAGCCTGTTCATCATTCTCATGTTGTCTGGATGTTATGGCCACCTGGCCCTGTTTCAATTGGAAGGCCGTACTCTACCGATATGGCGAGCACCCTTTCGCAGATCAGCTCTTGGTGAATCTTGAGCTGCAATGAAGCCGTTTCCGACTCTAGGCTGATTGTTTAAGTCCTAAATGCCAACGCCTTGCAAGGTGTGGGTCGTTTTGTCTCGGCCTCGCAAGATCTTGCATGCTGATAGGTGCGATGCGCAGACTATGCAGAACACGCGGCGGCTCGTGGAGCAAGAAGCAGGCCGGGAATGGCCGGGACATGGCAAGTGTGCAACGCTCATAGTATCCTGCTCCCCGAAATCCTCCCTCCGGGCTTGTTCCACATGAGCGGCGTCCAAAACCTCCGTGTACAAGTTCAGTTAGAGTCGGGTCATATCGACCTGTGCGTAAGCAAAAACTCCAAGCACGTGAGGTGGCGTAAGCTAGTGGCGCAAGCAAAATGATACAACATAGCCAATCATGACACGTTTGGGACGTGGCACAAATGAGAGTGTGTTTTTTTTTGTTTTTAATGAAGGTGCCTTTTTTTGTGGTTTTAAGGGGAATCCAACACTAAAAGCCAAGCCGCAGTTTTTTGGGGACCCCTGAAAAAAGACACACCAAAGCAAGGCCTTTATAAGACCCGATTAGGGGAAACACGCTGGGGGTGCAGTGGATGGGTGGGTGGGTGAATGGGGGGGGAGGGCTGAATCCCATAAACCCGAGTTCGCAGTGGTTGGCACTGAGTGATAGCGATTCGCAGTCCAGACTTTGGGCCGCCTAAATGCTTGGAGTGGGTCATGATGTGCTCAAAGAACTCGGGAACTAGGCTTGAGATCGCAAAAGGCACATGTGCGTGATTGTTTCAAACCTGACGTGCCATCAGTGATTCTACCTCAGCAACGAAGAAGGCTTGATGCTTGAGCGGTCCATTTTCTCAGTTTGATCCGAGACTCTGGCTCAGGGAGGCAAGAACGGATGGACCAAAAGCTGGCGGCGACAAAAGCTTCAAGTTGGCCACCCCCACGTCCATGGACAGTAGGTTTTCCGGACTGGACATCGGAAAATTTAGGTGGTCCCCCAGTTCTTTTCTGAATTGTCAATAAAGGCAGCAACATGCTGCACTAAAGGTGGTTTATCGCAGTAATACCCCTGTGTATCCCGGCTGATGCAGGACTTTGGCCACACTTTTCAAGCAGTATGCTAGCCCGCGGCCAGTTTTGGTTCATTTTACTGGAAGTGATTCGCCTTGAGTTGAATTCCGCTCTTTTAGAGGGGGTGCCTCTTTAAAAGCAGCCCACCCAAAACAACTCATGCCCTTTGTTTCGGAAAGGGAAGTCTCAAGAGCATCAGTTTGGCTGCATGATGGCTTTTGACTTACCAAATTATGTAGATGGCGTAGGCGCCACCTCACTCATTCAGACCCGAGCCGCATGTCTGCAGTTTCCACGGGTGCACCAAACAGAAGGGACAAAAATGCAAGAGCCAACGCTCCCAAGGAAGGGCGGAATCTCCCAAGCCAACCCCAAGAAAAGGTCAAGTCAACATGGGGGTCCCAAGAAAGGGCGGAATCTCCCAAGCCAACCACAAACAAAGGTCGAGCCAACATGGGGGTCTCAAGAAAGGGCGGAATCTCCCAAGCCAACCCCAAAAAAAGGTCAAGTCAACATGGGGGTCTCAAGAAAGGGCGGTATCCCAAGCCAACCCCAAACAAAGGTCAAGTCAACATGGGGGTCCCAAGAAAGGGCGGAATCTCCCAAGCTAACCAAAAAAAGGTCAAGTCAACATGGGGTTCCCAACAAAGGGCGGACTCCCCCCAAGCCAACCCCCAAAAAAGGTCAAGTCAACATGGGGGTCCAAAGAAAGGGCGGACTCCCCCCAAGCCAACCCCAAAAAAGGTCAAGTCAACATGGGGGTCTCAAGAAAGGGCGGAATCTCCCAAGCCAACCACCAAAAAAAGTCAAGTCAACATGGGGTTCCCAACAAAGGGCGGACTCCCCCCAAGCCAACCCCCAAAAAAGGTCAAGTCAACATGGGGGTCCAAAGAAAGGGCGGACTCCCCCCAAGCCAACCACCAAAAACAGGTCAAGTCAACATGGGGGTCCCAAGAAAGGGCGGAATCTCCCAAGCCAACCCCAAACACAGGTCAAGTCAACATGGGGGTTTCAAGAAATGGCGGAATCCCAAGCCAACCCCCAAAAAAGGTCAAGTCAACATGGGGGTCCCAAGAAAGGGCGGAATCTCCCAAGCCAACCCCAAACAAAGGTCGAGTCAACATGGGGGTCTCAAGAAAGGGCGGAATCTCCCAAGCCAACCCCAAAAAAAGGTCAAGTCAACATGGGGGTCTCAAGAAAGGGCGGTATCCCAAGCGAACCCCAAACAAAGGTCAAGTCAACATGGGGGTCCCAAGAAAGGGCGGAATCTTCCAAGCCAACCCCAAACAAAGGTCAAGTCAACATGGGGGGTCCCAAGAAAGGGCGGTATCCCAAGCCAACCCCAAAAAAGGTCCCAACGACCCCGCGTTGTCCATTTCCGCGAGTCTCTCCCTCAGGCCATGTGAAGAACATGGACCTGGACAAGCTGGATGCCTGCGGGGAGGCAAAGGGCAAAGTGCAAGACACAAATTGCCAAGAGCTGAGCTAGGTCCCCCAGCTAGGTGCCCTTTGACCGTGTAGTAGGGGGACGGTTTCCCTACTAAAATAGCAACAAAAGGTACTCTTTTTCTAACCTCTCTACTGGAGCAACTAGGTTGTAGCTACAGGATAGGTCCTGGTTTGACACTTTTTTTGGTTTGACACCTTTGTTTGGTGTGACACCTTTTTGTTTGGTTTGACACCCTTTTTTGGTTTGACACTGTTTCTGGTTTGACACTTCTTCTCTTTTTTTTGGGGGGGGTATGTCCTGCACAACTGGATTGTGGACGTGACTCGTATTGCCAGGATACCTTTTGGCACAGGGCCAAACAAAGCACTCAACCGGCATTTAGATGCGGAGAGATTGGTAGATGTTGCGTTGGCGATTTGCATTCGGGATCAGGGACGCATCAGGAACGCTTCAGCTTCTGTTTTTCTCAGTGCAAGACGTTTGTTGTTTGCTTTTCAGTTTTTGCTGCCTAGCAACAGGTATCATTGATTTTTTGTTTATGTATGAACGCCCCATGTGCCTGATGACCTTTCCAACATATTCCTTCGATTCGGCTGATGCAACCTCAAACGCCTTTTTTGTGTCCCTTTGGCTTCGCGCAACGAGCTAAAAAGGAAATATGACTGGTTTCTCATTCCCTGAGTTGCTGAGCTTTATCAAACATAATAAGGTGATACTTTTGGAAACATGGTAGCATTCTCACGCAGGCCCACTGGGTATGTGGGTGGCCCCGTCTCTTTTTGAGAAGGGAACAAAAACACCATTTTCGGGGGGGCGGGGGGTCCCCCAACAGACGAGCAACATGTACCAAAAAGCATGCAACGGTGTCAGGCGACGCTTGGCTTGGGAGCGACCTTCGGTTGCACGCTGGCGATTTGGATCCTGTGCCTGCCCTTCTTCAACTTGGCAGCTCGGAATGATGGGGCTCAGTTTGAATCAGTTTGGAGTCTTCGATTTTGGTTGGACCCCCCAAAATCGAATTTTGGTGTTCCTTTTGGTCTCCGTTTAAAGCCACCAAACAAAATAAGGGGGGCACCCTCAGAAACAGACACACCCACCAACCATCAAGGGGAACCCTCAAGAAACAACGGATGACTGTCCGTACTGCTTTGTGGTTGGAGCTGACAAAGCGTTGAAGGAGCGTGCAGCAACAAACAGAGTTGCATCATGTTGGATATCCGAAGCTGGCATGATAAAACATTCGCCCGGTGGGTCCCGAGAACAATGTAACGTCTTACGGGTTCATTTGAGGAGGGGTTCCTGCGTGACATGGCAAAAAAGAAGGATGCAGCTCCGAGCAAACCGGAGGGAACAAGGCCAAATATGATTGAATGGCCCATGCCTCTGCGAATGGGTGGTGCATGGCGATAAATGCCACTACCGCAAACTGGTGATAGCCCCGCCCCCTTAAAAATGGAATTGGGGGAGGGCGTGACCTGGGCAAGACTCGAGACCCCCTACCCCCCCTCCTCCTTAAGGGTGGGATCTGGTACTTCTGGGATAATGTTCATGCGTATCGCCCTTCGGAACCTTCCGCAACCGGGGTAGGGATGGTCAGAATAAGCTCAGGTGACATCCCCAACAGCATGCGGTGCTCTTTTTAGTGCTCGCACCACCCTGCAGCCCTCGCAGAACCTCGATGGAACCCTCGTGGAACCCTGGCCACCCCGGACCAGATAGGCCCCAGAGCCTATCTGGGCTGAGACCCCAAAGCTTTCAGCTGTTGGGGAAAAACCGCAGGGAATCTTTTAAAGCCACCCTTGTTTTGGGCGGTCGGATTGCTCCCATGCAATCCGGCGCAAAAGCCTTTGCTGCCTCTGTCAAAATGCGGGCCGGAAAGGTGGTGTACCGAGCCTTCCCTCAGTGAAAATTGATGTTCGGTTCCTCGGGTTGGTTCGGAAGACGGTGATTTGCCGCCTTTTGGCTTTGCCTGCAGTAGAAAAATACACACATTGATGTTCACATACATGTATTACTACATACTCGTATATGCGAGCATGGAGGGATGGACGGACGGACGGATGGGTGGATGGATGGATAAATTGCGAGTCTTTTGGCACATGCAGCCACTTCGTGTTTGATCAACTGTGCCCAGATGGCAGGCAAGCTGAACAGTGCTGCATGCTACAGCATGATTTGCCCAGGCGCAGGTCCGTGGGGGGAACCATATATATATATATATACATATATATATATACATACACATATTTACACACACACACACAACCCACACAACCCACACACATATATATATATATATACACATACAGCTTAGCACTGGACATGTTGCACTTCATCCCTCCCATGTTCATCAGTTAGCCGTTCCTCCGCAGTTTTTGCAGCTGTCAGGTGGGCATGGGGTGGATCCGGCCGGGGAACTCAGATCCACCAAAAACTTCAGCGAAGATGGATCACTAAGATGCTGCGGGCCCGGGATTTGCCCGGCTGAGCAATACTGTGGATGGACGAAGTCCATTTCGAAACCCTGAATTGATGATTTCCGGGTAATGTTGACCCTCATATAAAACCAACCAACCAGTTTATCAACAGGGGGTGGGGGCCCCTTCAAAAGTGGTATGATTCCCCACTAAACCCAAAAAACACTCCCTATCAATAAACTGGGGTTGATGAATATGGGGTGAAGATTAAGGGGTCTCCCAGCCGTGCGAGTTGGTGATCCTCCGTTGCCAGAGAAGCATGAGCAGTTGTTTTGCCGCACAGCTGAGCCGTTTGCGGAAACCTGTGACAACTTCACTGTGTTTTATGTTTTGGGTTGTTTGGTCCTGTTCATGTTTAGAAGCGGCTGCAAAAAGCAATGCTTTTTGCTAACCATACCACGGGTTGTGAAGAAATGTTGCGCTTTCCTTCGCACCCAGTGTGCAATCCGACATCAGGACTGTCGCATGAGTTCAGGATTTACAGCAGATGGCTGATGTGGACACGCCCAAGATCTAGGTATTATGCTGTGGGTTGCGTGAGTTCCGGCTGGAGGCGGCTAGGTTCTCGTGTATGCAGTGAAGAGCGTTTTGTTTCTCGTGCCTGGCAAACATTTGTTGGTTTTATTGGATCAAATAATGAGCGCGGCATGTAACGTCCCCCTTCCGATGGTTCCGAAACCCGGGTTTTCAGCGTAGTCTTCATATGCTTGCTCGTTCCTGTTTCTTCAACGATCATGTGAACATTCCCACCCCCTGAGAAATGGGATTGAGTGAGGGGGGTGATTTGTTGAGATCTCTATTTCTGGCTTCATTTCCTTTGTGTTGGGAAGACTAGATCCATGAAATTGGCGGAACCCCGGCCCTCCTTAAGGTACAGTAGGGGAAAAATATGTGAATGGAATTGGCGGGACCCCCCACCCCCCTCCTTAAGGGTAAGGGAAAAATACCCCCCCCCTCCTTAAGCTAGGGGAAAGATACCTTACGGTCGGGGACAAATCTGTGAACCCGGCCCCCACCCCCCTCCTTAAGGGTAAATCGGCCAAATCTGTGAACCTGCCATGGCCTTTGGCTCAATCAGCCCGCCACGCGGAAAAACCGAAAACCGGCGACTGACGAAGCATCGCATCGCAGCCATGGCCTTCCGCGGGCTGTTGGTTCTCGCCGCCGTGGCCTGCCTCTGGCACTTCTCCGGCACGGAGACGCAGGTGACGGCCCTTCCCATGGGTTTATTTTCATGTTCTTGTTCTTCATAGGTTTCACGTGTTTTTTTCCCTCATGGGCTTCACATAGGTTTCACCCCATGGTTTTTTGTTCATGTTTTTTCCATGGGCTTCACATGCGTTCCTCATGGCTTGCTTCCTGAGTTCCTCATGGCTTCATGGGTTTGCTTGGGAGGTCCCATGTGGCTTCACCCTGTCTTGCGAGTAGCAAGACGTCAATATGACTATGCGCGCATGTATTCGAGTAACTTGGTTCTGGTTAAGTGAGCTTTGGTCTCGTTTCGGATCGGTTTTGGGGCGTTCCCCAAACCACCATAACTCGCCCACGACTCACTTAACCACCCTAAAACAACCCTAAAGCCGCCGCCAAACCAGCAGCACACCTAGCACAAATCAGCTCCAAGCCAACCCAAACCCATTCAAAGTCGACCCTAAACCCGCCCAACAGCCGCCTGGATGTCAGCCCTTCGCTTCGCCCAAATCAACCCCAAACCACCCCAACGCCAAAACCCCCCTTACTTAAACAAGCCCCCAGCAACTCCCAGCTGCCAAGCCAATAAACAACCCAAGGTCCAAGTGATGCTGGTGATGCTGGGGATGTTGCCAGTTTAAAAGAAAGAAGAAAACACCGTTACCTTTCACATGAGGTCCCACGTGGCGTGCACCCTGTCTTGCGAGTAGCAAGACGTCAATTCGACTATGCGCGCATGTAACTACATATATGGGCCGGTACTGTTTGGAGCTTTTCAACTTAAGAGAGCGGGAGAGAGAGAGAGAGAGATATATATATATAGATATAAATCCTCTTTGTGCAGAGGGCCTTTATCTCAATGCTGACTGCACAGCTCACCGTAGATTGCCCAGGATCCGTCTGACCGACTTGTTTTTTGTAGCCGTGACTTTCAAATCCAGCCAAGAAATGTGGGTGTGGCTCAAAAGTTAAGAACCAGGGTTGCGCAGGGTTTGATCTTTGTTTCCATTTACCTAGAACCCATTTTGGTTACATCTTTTTGAGCCACAGCCATGTTTGAAAGGAGTTCATATCCTGCCGCTTGGGTCCATTTGTGTAACTTGGTTGCCATGCTGAGTGGCTGCGGTTGGCTTCGGAGGAGGTCTTCGTTCAGCCAGCATTGCGCGGAAGCTCCAGCAACTTCCCGCGGCTTGGCAGCTCGAGCTTGGCTATATCTTAGGTCGGACGCGGTCGGGCCACTGATTCAAAGCTAGCTTCCGCTACCCAAAAAATCACTGCCCCCAGAAACACATGGAATATTCAATTTGCATAGTATACCCTTTACGTAGTAATATTCAAGCAACTGTATAAGTGTTTTATATTTTATTGAACTTCTGGGGAGTGGTTTGGGGCTGGAAAGTATCATAGACTGCTCCAACACTTGTCATATATTCGCGAAAACTGAGGTTGGTCAGGCAGGCTCGCCAACGGAAGGTCTTGGCTGAAAAGGGGCAGTCTTCATTTGGAGGGATAGCAATCAGGCCGTGGTCTCCAAGTTACGAAATTCGCCCAAGTCAGAGACCATAGGTCCACCACCGTCAACTGAGCCACAATCAAGACCCGGGTAAGTGAAGGTTGGTAAGGGACAATCCCAACCATAAATAGCTGCGGATATCCGTCTTCTTAATTCTTGAAGCATGCTTCTGGGATTACGACCATTTCAATACCACCTTATGACCTTTCGGTTTTCCCATTTTGGTCCATCTTTGGGGTCTTTTTGGGTTTCCCTTAACACCAAATCACAGGTTTTGATTGTGATTCAACTGCCTCTTCTTGGGGCAACGCGTGGCAGTGGAAGCCCAGCCGCGTGTTTCGCTTTTTTCGAGGCCTTCGGACGGGGGAACCTTACGGCCGGTCCGGTCCGGTGTGTTGGGTTGGCCCGGGGATTTGGGTTGGCCCTTTGGCGCATTTTGCCAAGGGCTGTTAGGACTGGACCATTTTTTTTGCCCAACTCCTGGGTTTTCCGTATTAAGCCACTAAAAGTTGGTCACTTTTAGCAGGGGAGCAGAAAGCAACCGAGAACCCCTGTTCTTGTGGAGGGCAAACGGAACTCCAGCAGAACGCCTCCAAACCAATCAAGCCATGCAGAATGGGCAAGCTGAACCTGAGATGATTATATGTTGACTATTCCTGGGTCCTGACTTTTGCGGGGCTTGCTCTATCTGCAAGCTTTGCAGGGCCCCTGTAGCACAACCTACCTCTCACCCGCAAGCACAATCTACCTCTCACCCAGAAGCCCCACATCTACCACATAGTTTGCAAAATGTCTGCCGCGCACCTTCCCCCGTGAGCGTCGTACTTCCGACCGAGACATGGCAAACGATGGCTGCTGTTTGTTTGTCTCACTTTCGACACACCTCAAACAGGTCGTGAGTGCGTAGCTCCGATTTTTCAGGGCGCCGGCGGTGGTGATGAAGGCCCTGCCAGAGCCTCGGCCCAACGACGCCATGCTCCCGGTAGAGCTGAACCGCACGTCGTTGTACTGGGGCCTGCTGCTGATTTGTATCCTCTCGGTGCTCTTCTCCAGCTACTTCTTCAACTGAGCGCGAAATGAGGGCCCAAAGGGCCGAAGGGCGAAGGGAAGCTAAGGATGGCCTGAACGGAGACCGTACATCGTGAGATGCACGAAATGAGGGAGGTTGTGGCATACCGTGGGTAGGTTCCTCGCGGCCTTGGGCAATGTACGGCCTCCCTTGGAATGTGTTTTTGTGGCGCTTTAAAGGCTTTGCACAAAAAATGGGCGGGCGCATTCATGTGCTAGGTGGCCCACCTAAAAAGCTGAAGCCGTCTTGCGAGCACGCACGTGCAAAAAGAAGGCCCGAGACAGTCCGAGCCCGGGCTAACAGACAGGAGCCACCAGGCATGTTGGGAGACCAGCAGCGCCAAGTACTCCTGAATTCCCAATTGGTTTTATGGAACAAGGCTACCCTGAAAGACATGATATGGGCTCAAAGCAACCAGTTGTGCTGAAGCCTCATTTGCGGCTTGATTTCACCTTGGAGCCTTGAGGAAGTGTGCCAGCTAACACTACATGATTCACTTCAAGTTTCCTCCTTTGCAAAGTCTTCCTTTGTCCTTTTAGCTATAGGTGCGGTAAGAATCCAGTTGACTGCCTTGCTCGAAATTGCGCGCTGACTCAGGCATGTGGTTGACCTGGTTGCATGGGCTGAAGCATATTCGTAGGGGATCTTTGGGCGGAACCTGGGAGCCAATCCCGGTCAGATTGCCACATTTGACCAAATCAAACGGACAGATGCAGAGACAACTCCGTGGCTTCCGGTGTTTCTGAATGGCACCCGCTGTTGGGTCTTTTTGTTTGGGTTTCCGACTGGGTCAACCCCAAGGAATGCAACTTCCTCTCAAGTGGAAACCAACCCTTTTCATTGTACGACTGACAAATCCGTGTGTTCGAGCTTTGATCAGATGGTTGGAAAGCTCATGCAGGCTCGGATTCCATTGTAGAACTCATGATTGCACTGGTGGACATATCCAGATTCCTCGTACAAATATTTTGAGCCTCCACTTTGCAGAAACGCTGCGGAATCATGGCCAACCAATCAGTACCGCAAGTGTTCCTGATTTCGCACTTGCCGGATGCTTTCTGCTATTCTTTGAGTACATCGTGTTCAACTCCTAAGTCCCCGCCCTTTTACCCTGTTTTTGGGAGAGGTTCCTACTAATTAAAATAGACAAAACAGAAAA